ATTAAGTAAATTAGAGCAAATAGGAATCAAGCACATTGTCTTAAAGTGGTTTAATGTCGGGTTCATGCACGAATTAACGTAACCGAATTTAAGGATCAGCTGTTTCTACACCAGTGTCCTCCACATTTTACGCCGCCAGAGGGTAACTAGCTAGTGATTTCCAGTGGTGGTCAAACGTTTTGGTGACGTCACACCCATTTTTTGACATGATTCGGGTGGTTCGGAACTCGTCTTACCCTTGGATAGCCCTTTCCATACTGTTCTATGCTCGTATTGACGTAATTATAATAATTCTGTGGTGTCTCCTGTTCCACGACGATTTACCGAGAAAGCCAGGCCGTGACTCATCTGTTGTTTTTGTTTGAGTTCTTGGCGAATTTACGGTAGAAATTTGTTTTGGTGTTCGTCTTCGGGTGTGTTTTTCTGCCTTGGACTTGTTTTTTGTGCGATTAATTGAGGATGGCCATGCCTAGAGCAAAAAAAACGAAAAGCCGCGCTGGTATCAACTCCCGACCTTGTTGAAGAGGTACCTGCAGAAGGCACCTGAACGCGATCGGACATCGCCAGAGGAGCGCCTAATGATGACGTTGCAGTAAGTATCCAAATCAGTTCATTTTGCATAAATGACTATGTATATTGAGGTTATGGTCGTTTTCTTATTTCAAGGTCACTTCTTAAAATAAAGTTCAATATATTGAACTTTATCTTAAGAACCAACCAATCGGATCACTAGCGTTGGTCAGCTGATCGCTACAGCTGGAATTAGAAGATGAGTACGAGCCATCGATACTGTACAAAAGTAGATAGTCGATATTTATATCGTGATGTTTGATCGATTTTATATCGCTGTATGGGCAGATGGTTCGGTGATAGTTGTATGAAAAATTATTTGCGCTTGCTTACGCATGACAGTTTAAAGCTGAAGATCGGGGCGGATTGATAAAAAAAATCAGAGATGTATGTTAAAAATTATAATAAGTCAGTGGTCATGTTTACTTCATCCCCTAACAAAGTGCGTATAGTGGTAGTTTCAGCAAAACATAAAAAACAGCATGAAAAAAATAAACATGGGTCCTAAATTGCCCCTTACCAAGATAGAGGATTTTGAAATTATATTCTAGAGAACGAAAAAAAAAGAATGGAAATGATCTTAAAATGTTGTGCTTGTAGTACTGACTTCATAGCTGATAGATGTAAACGCTTTCATGTCTGAGACTGTACCAATGGTGATGTCGGCAAATTATAGCTCCTACAGAAGAAAAAAGAGAATTTAAATCTATACCATGCCCCCCATGACATGTTTTTCCAAAACCTTACAGAACACTGTGAAGGTACTTTGTCATTAACTACAAACCAGGTGTACACCTGGCGAATTCTGTGTATTCGCAGCACACCAAATATGCAATCTCTTTTGTTGAGGTAAACAGATGAGTAGCACGTAACTTTTTTTGTGACATCTGTACTGTTGGAAATAACAAATCTGGTAAAGGGCCAAATTAAGGACTGGCGTTTGGTATCACCAATGAAAATTTGTTTACACACAGAATTTTGGCAATCAAATGTATACGGCTAGATTGGGAATTTATACATATGTACAGAGCAGTATCATCTGAAGGGGCGTGGTGAGATGACTATGTTTCTGTTTGCTGACTAAATATGACAGTGATATTATGCTAATAATTTTTTTTGTTTCACAGTGTCAACATCCTTCGAGGAGACAGTTGGAATGAAGATCGTCATTTATTTTATGGATACGAAATTAACTGTCAATGACATAAGGAGTTTGTTTCCTAGTTTGAAGAAACAATTAGTGTTTTATGTGTTTTTTTTTTTGTTGAGGACAATTTTGTTTGCCTGTACCCATTAACAGTGTGTGCAAAACTATTTTTGATTCACATATCAGAGTGATTATATTTGTATTCCAGTCAGTCCCCTAACTACAGATGTATTTTTTGTTATTTTAGTATTTATGTTTTCGCAATAAATATACATGATCAATTAACAAGATATAGTGCTTGAATGATATTGCACTGATCAGGTTCATAATATAGCGAAAAATCCAGATGAGTAGAATACTTCTATGTATGTACATTTCATTGTAATGAAGAATTTGTTCTATTATTGCTGGGACTGTTCAATAAATATTTTTTTAATTATACATTTTTTTATTATCCTGAAATTCATTACTACTCATACTGATGAAAGAAATACTCCCTTTATTGAGGTTGTGTTATGCATCTATGATCATCGAACTGCCTCAATATCGGGAAGGTCATCAGTCAGATTTCGTAATGTAAACAAATGAAATCGCCGACACATTCCTGACATTCCTGATATGCGTTGTCGGCATACTTTCAATATTTTTAGTTCCACCAGATTTCCAGCCAAGAAAGGTAGCGCTGCCGTCGTTATAGTCCAAGAAATTTCTTCACATCTGCTCAGGAAAATATTCGGATTCGGACTTTTTGCATGTTATTCGAAAAAGCCTCCTAGTAACAGGTCTACATGTTGTCAGGCTCCAAATTGCGTCTCTAATTGTTTGAACAACTTTTTCAAATAAATTACAAAAATTAATGTTTTCGCTTCATCAAAGGTAGCATTCGTTTTTTTTTGATACTCCGAAACAAAACGATGTTTGACAATGTTTGTCAAAAGTTGATTTTGTACGAGATGGGAAAGTACAAAAAATTGATTTTGCGATACCGAAAAACGATCTGAAAAAACGAAAATGTTAATGTCGCCATGCTTCATAAATAACCATTAACACAATTGCGATACCTTTTAGGAGATACTGTTATTATAAATCTTTGTATTTAATTGATATGCAAGCGGACGCTCAATGCACATTCAGCGTGCACGAGAGATATTTCATCTCTCTCTCGCGTTCACATAGACATAGACATAGACTATACATTGAGCGCGCATTCAATTCATAAATACTATGCAAATATTTATAATAACTGTACTCCCTAAAATGCTCTGGGGGTTTGTTATTGGTTGGTTGAAGCATGTGTGAGATTTGGCAACATCAAAATGTTCATTTTTCATATTGTTTTTAGGGTAGCAAATGACATAT